TTTTAAAAAAAATAAATAAAATCATGTCATCTTTGCACAAAATATTCCTTTAATATCTCTAATTTTCTTGAACAGATCTCTGGTTTTCCCCTTTCTATTATTTTCCTCTATATCTTTGTACTGTTCATTAAAGAAGCCCCTCTTGTCTCTCCTTTCTATTCTTTGGAAGTCCTCATTCAATATTCTGTAACTTTCCCTAGCACCCTTGCATTTTGTTTCCCTTCTCTTCTCTACTCTTTGTAATGCCTTGTTGGACAGCCACTTTGCTTTCTTGCATTTCCATTTCTTTGGAATGGTTTTTGTTGCTGTCTCCTGTACAATGTTACAGGCCTCCATCCATAGTTCTTCAGGCACTCTGTCCACCAAATCTGGTTCCTTAAATCTGTTCTTCCACTGTGTATTCATGAGGGATTTGGTTTAGATTTTACCTGACTAGCCCAGTGGTTTTTCCTACTTTCTTCAGTTTAAGCTTGAATTTTCCTATGAGAAGCTGATGATCAGAGCCACAATCAGCTTCAGGTCTTGTTTTTGCTGACTGTATAGAGCTTCTCCATCTTTGACTGTAGAGAATATAATCAATCTGATTTTGATACTGACCATCTGGTGATTTCCATGTGTAGAGTCGCCTCTTGTGTTGTTGGAAAAGAGTGTGATGACCAGCTTGTTCTCTTGACAAAACTCTATTAGCCTTTGCCCTGCTTCGTTTTGAATGCCACGGCCAAATTTTCCTGTTGTTTTTATCTCTTGACTCCCTACTTTAGCATCCCAGTCCTCTATAATGAGTAGGACATCTTTCTTTGGTGTCAGTTCTAAAAGGTCTTGTAAGTCTTCATAGAACCGGTCATTTTCAGCCTTTCCAGCATTAGTGGCTGGTGCATAAACATGGATTACTGTGATGTTGAAAGGTCTGCCTTGGATTTGTATTGAAATCATTTTATCATTTTTGAGATTGTACAGCTTTTCCCATTCTTTTGTTGACTATCAGGGCTACTCCATTTCTTCTACGGGATCCTTGCCCATAATAGTAGATACAGTGGTGCCCCGCATAGCGAAGATAATCCATTTAAGAAGCCCATATGAACGCATTAAAACACGTTTAATGCGTTCCTATGGGGAAGAAACTCACAGTTCTGTGAAAATCCTCCATGCGGCCGCCATTTTCGCTGCCCGGTAAGCAAGGAAAGGGCGCGAAAACACGGCAGGCGGCCCTTTTATTTACCCGCGGCCATTTTGGAACCGCCGATCAGCTGTTAGAAAACGGGCCGTTTGCGATGATCGGGGTAGCGATCGTCGCAAATGCCCCATTTTCACACAGCTGATCGGTGGGGCCGCGCAATCTTAGCACTTAGAAAAACACATTCCAATGTCTCTCAAATAATCTTCACACAGAACCTGTCTGGCTCCATCTTACATTCCTCTGACTACATATCCCATACTGCTTCAACTCCATCACAACAATAAAAAGAAAAATAAATAGGCGACTTCTTCCTTGCTTGCCCACAGATGGTTATAGTTAGACAGAAAAAATGAGTTTATGGACTTCAAAAAAAGTTTCTTATTTTAAAGAAAATATTTTGTTAAGGGAAAAGAACAAATACAAATGCAAAAGAACAAAGAAAGACCATGTTTGTTGCTTGTCCTGAAGGAGTGGAAGAATGTTAGCGGCAGTTGAGTCATGGTTTGTGCTCTTTAGACAGAGGCTAAAAGAAAATCAGGCTACTCTAGCTCTCAGTAGGTTATAGTATGCTAGAAAGCATGAGATTAGAGTCAGGAGCATGTGCCTATAGAGAAATCACACTGTTACCAGGTTTGTGATAATAAAGTTTAGGACTATGAAAAGGAAATTAAACATACACAGCCCTAGGGCTGATTTGTCTTGGACTGTTATACTGCAAGGGTGTTTGCAGTGATTTTCCCTACCTATCATAGTTACTTGTGATCATGAAAGTTAATAATAGTGTACAACTTTTTTGTGCTTGCAGTGTACAAGGTAGACTCTCGTTTTAAGACATTTCTGACTTTGTACCATAAATGCAGATCACAGTCTTGAACTCTGTGTTGATTTAATCGCTCCACCTAGAATCTCTGTATAGAAAGACACTTTGGTCCTACTTATTTATTGGGATATGAGTTGGTGCCTTCAGTGCCTTGCATGTGGGCCTCCTATGCAAAGTGGGAGAACAGTCATTTGAACTGATCCAACAGAGCTATTTTTCTGTTACTAACCTGGAAAAACTGATACCGTTTCCTCAGTTAATAAAGTGGGACAGAATCTCAGTTTCTCCCTACAGTATTCATTTAAAGGGCAGGGAAAAGTCACACTTTTAGTGCTGGAATTGTGATGGTGACAAGGAAGTTCACTACCTGTGGAACAAGGGGACATTGCTTGATGACCCACAGGAAGAAATCAGTGCATTAGAAAGGCTCAGCCTATCAGTGTTGAAATGTAGGGCTGTGCTGTTTCTTCTGTTGAGAGAGTCTTTGGCGCTTCCCATTGTTAATGGTTTTGCAGCCATTTTGTCAAGCCATCCGAACTGTTACCATCTCAGCTAGCTGTAAAAAGAGGGGTACCTTAAGAAACTGGTATCTTAGTGTGCATTTTTAGGGAACTCAATAGAGTATTGGGCATGCACATGATACTTGCATTTTTCCAAGCAGTTGGTATCATCTGCTGTTCAGTTTCAACAGCTGGGAGCTAGCATGGTTGTCCTTGAGAAGATAATAATCTGTTTTGTACTGCTTGGATTTATAAGCAGGGTAGGCTACAGTTCCCAAGATTCTTTACCATTGACTGTGCTGAATAGAGCTGGTGGGAGGCAATGTCCAATAGTGTTTAGAAAGGTGTACTTTGCTGTTTCAGCCCTGTAGAGATGGCTCTCTGAAGTAATTTTCTTGATAAAGGAAAGGGTAACAAGTGCCAAGGAATAGTGAGAACTGTATTGAGCAATTTATTTTCTGACCATTCCAGCCGTGTTGTTGCTGTTGCTAGTCGGTAGCTGAGATAGAGCAGTGAAGCAGACAAGGGTTATAAGTCATGTAATGAATTTGTCTCTAAGAACAAACCATGGTTAAGACAAGTCAAGCCTGTTTCAAACAGTGGTTTCAGCTTGATAACAAACAAGTTGACCAGATCACTTAAGATGCTTGTAGAATAAGCAATTGTGGTTTAGTATTGTATCTGAACGTATTAAGATGTTTAACAAAACACAGCAAAACAAAAAATTTCAAAGTGCTGTGACACCTTCAGACTTTTTTTAAACCATTAGGAGTTACACTTTCGAAGTAATGGTTCAGAGTGGTTGAAAGATGTAGAAGAGTGGGCAGTGTTTTTTCGCTCTTGCCTTGCATTCCAGATGGAACAATATGATATAAATAATGGTACTGAATAATTTATTTAATTTTTCTCATCTGAGGTTGACCATGGGGCAGCAATAAAGGAATATAGCAGGTCTTCAGCAGACCAAGAGGAACCATTACCACATGAACTAAGACCTTCTGAAGTGTTGAATATGACCATGGACTATTTAGTTACTCAAATCATGGACAAAGGAGAAGGAAACTACCGCGAGTGGTATGATTTTGTATGGAACAGAACTCGTGGCATAAGAAAGGTAACCCATTTTTAGGGTAAGGGATTGGCCATGATAAAATGCTAAACATAGTTATTGATTGGGTTTATGGAATGAGAATCATGAAGAGAATATCATGGAGTGCCGTTTGTATTTTGGGAGTGAGAGTGAGCAAGGAAAACAAGTTTGTAGGAGAGTGCCTGTTCCATAATACATACAGAATTAGGGTACAGAATTAGGTTAAATTTGTTTCCTTTACCTTTATATTTTGAAACTCTGGCTGTGTTGCCAGTACATCTCAGACAGCATTTTTAAAAAGCAAATTAGTTTATGTCTCTGGAGTGCATACTTAAATTGATTTAATTATTTGTAACTCTTATGTTTGTGCAGGATATAACCCAGCAGCATCTCTGTTGTCCTCTGACTGTTTCCTTGATTGAGAAGTGTACCCGTTTTCATATTCATTGTTCCCATCATTTGTGTGAAGAGCCTATGTCATCTTTTGATGCAAAAATAAACAATGAGAACATGACTAAATGCCTACAGAGCCTGAAGGAAATGTATCAGGACCTTGCAAATAAGGGCATTTACTGCAAGAGTGAAGCAGAATTCAGGGGATATAATGTTCTCCTAAACCTCAACAAAGGGGATATTCTAAGGTGAATTTGTAAATAATTACAGCATCCAGTTTGGTGTTTTTTGCTCTCAGTATCTGTAGAACAAATGCAAAATGACAGGAAATTAAGCCTGTCAAGATTGAAAATTACTTTTCTGTGGTATTATTTGCAATTATTTATTCATTTAAAATGTCTGCATGCCACCTATCTCCTAAAGTATCCAAGGTGGCTTACAGTATTAAAAGAAACAAAGTTAAAAACTAAAATAATACATTATTACAATTAAAAAAAACAATTAAATGTAGTATTAAAACGTATAAATAAGAGCAATATTAAAAGCACAAGTAGAACAGCAGAATACGGTACAATGGATTAGTTGGTCCTTTGGTCACAATGGAACCATTTATCCACCTTTCTTTGACACAAGCACAGTATTTCTTGCCAATTGTTAATGTCAATTTTTGAGCATAGCTACATGTGTTTTATAGGTAATTAAGAGACTAAACCAGTTGAATGAAAGGCTCCTCAGTAACCCACTACTAGACATAGTAGCACTGGTGTTCACATTTCTTTGAACCATCATTGTATCAGAAGACATTTAAGTTACACAATTTCTCTGTTTAATGTATCTACAGTATGTCCCCCATATCTGCTGGGGATTGGTTGCAAACCACCCCCTGTGGATACTGAAATGGATAATAGTAAATGAGACAGACAGACAGACAGACAGACAGACAGACAGATAGCATGGTACAAGGGAAATAAACCAGAAAAACAGTATTCAGACCCACCACAAAAAAATGTTGCGGTCAGCAAAGGACAAAAGGGACCCCCTCACCACTGCAGGAGTATACCGGATACCGTGCAGTTGTGGACAGGTATATATTGGAACCTCAAAATGCAGCATTCACACCAGAATCAAAGAACATGAGAGACACTGCAGATTAAAACAACTGGATAAATCAGCCATAGCTGATCATGCCCTAAAACAAGCTGGACATGAAATTCTATTTCAAAATGAAGTGGTGCCTCGCATAACGAGCGCACCGTTTAACGACGAATCCGCATAGTGATGCGGATTTTGCGATTGCAAAAGCGATTGCATTGTGATGTTCTGAATGGGCAAACATCACATTGCGATGTTTTCTAAACAGCTGATCGGTGGTTCCAAAATGGCCACCGGGTGAAGAAAATGGCCACCCGCAGCATTTTCGCGCGGTTTCCTCGCTTACCGGGGCAGCGAAAATGGCGGCCGGATGGAGGGTTTCCGCATAGCGGTGAGTTCCCCCCCCATAGGAACGCATTAAACAGGGTTTAATGCGTTCCTATGGGGTTTTTTGCCCCGTATAGCGACGATTCCGGATAGCGACGATTTATCCGGAACGGATTATTGTCGCTATGCGGGGCAGCACTGTACTGAAGTACTGGACAACACCAGCAATCTGTATGTTAGACTGCACAGGGAAGCCATTGAAATCCATAAACATAAACAGAACTTCAACAGGAAAGAAGAAGGCTTAAAACTAAACATGGCCTGGCGCCCCATTCTGAAAAATACAACCTGCAAAAGGTCAATTAACTCTACCCAGCCACAAGGGCCAGGGATCATTGTACAAAAAAAGACCACCTAACGACACACCATCAATCGATAGTCTCTCCCTCCCCACTCCCTTATCATAACAAAAACATGCTGATCACCCTATCTCCTGAAAAAAGACAAAAGCTGTTTCCCACAGCTATAAATACTCACCTATCCAACAAACACCAACAGAGCATGGACAGAGTTCCTACTCCAGTCCTCTGAAGATGCTGGCCACAGAGACTGGCGAAATGTCAGGAAGAACAACCTTCAGAACATGGCCAAAGAGCCCGAAAAACCCACAACAACCATTAAACCAGAAAAAATATATTCACATGCACTATCACAACTGTCTCCCTCTAGTGACTAGTTCTGGTAATACATGGGAAAATAGTTTTTTTCTGGATTTTTTTTCTTTTAATATTTTTAGACTTGATAAGTGAATAAGTGGATACTGTTGCCATGGATTAGGGCAGTGGTCCCCAACCTTGGGCCTCCAGATGTTCTTGGGCTTCAACTCCCAGAAATCCTGGCCAACAGAGGTGGTGGTGAGGGCTTGTGGGAGCTGTAGTCCAAGAACATCTGGAGGCCCAAGGTTGGGGACCACTGGATTAGGGGATCCTACTGTATATTGGTAAACCTTTAGCAAAGATATATCCTACAAATTTTTAAATAGCCGAGTAGAACAAAATACCTTTTTATAAATCATGAATGATAAGTACAGTAAAGAGTCAGAATATGTTAGACTAATAGATTTATTGTAGTGTGTTTTCATTGACCTCAGCCACCTTTGAAAGATGCATCAGAGAGAAAGATGTCAAGTGAAAGACAATTGTGAATTAGCTATTTTCATGATCTGTATATTGTTATGCATGCATCTGATGAAATAGAGTCAAATGTAAGACAATACATGCCCCAATGGATCTGTTAATCATTAAGATGCTACAATCTAGCTGTTTTCATAGAATTTGTTAATTTAGATTATATGAAAATAATCAGATTTATTCACAAAGTAGCTGATATCAGTAATAAGTTGCAACTACAGTAGGCCCATTGAATCAGTGGGGATTTGGTAACTCAACATTTCTGTAAGTTCCATTAATTCATCGGGCCTACTCCAGGTGTTACTACTGGGTTTTGACTCCTCTGTAGTCTTGAATCTAAGTGGGTGGTTGTGTGCGAATTTCAAAACTATGTACGTGTGGGCTTCTTGCTACATTTTGTTCCACACAGGTATTTCTATTATTAGTCAAAAATTGATTTCTCTTCTTTTTTGTTTTAGAGAAGTACAGCAGTTTCGTCCGTCTGTCCGAAACTCTCCTGAAGTTCGATTCTCAGTTCAAGCCTTTGCTGCCTTAAACAGCAATAATTTTGTCAGGTTTTTCAAACTTGTGCAGACGGCTTCTTACCTGAATGCATGTTTGTTACATTGTTATTTTAACCAGGTAAGAAACACCAGTTTAAAGTTGCCATAGGAGGAGAAAAATCCTGAATTTACATTTTTTAGCTTCTTAAAAAACTCCCCTTGGGGCCCCATAATTACAATCATGTAAAGAAGAACAGAACAGCACTGATTGCTCCTGTCCCTCCATTGTGGGCTTGACATTGGTGCCCTCCATGTATTGAAAGATAAAGACCTGTGGGGAAAATCTTGCTGCACTTATGTGAGTTTCTTACATGATTTTATAGTTCTGCAACCACAGGAACTGTACTCTGGATGTTCAGCCTGAATATGTGGAGGGGTGAAAAAAAATCACTGGGAGATGCAGTGGAAGGGAACACAACAATCAAACTTGTCCTGGTTTGTCCCTTATACATGATTGGAACTATGAGATAGGAGGTCACTTTTCCACAAGTATTTCCATTAAGTAAAAGGGCAAATATGCTTTGTTATCTTAGTTACTGGAGAAAGCAACAGACTTTAGTTCATTCTCAGTAGGACAAGAAAGCAGAGAGTTAGCTCCTTTTTGGTTCTGTTCCTTCCCTAAAGGGCAAAGCGTATACATATTCTTCCTGGTTTGTGAACTCCTATGCAATTAAAGAGACAAGAAGTATTGCAAAAAGTACCTCATGTTCTCATCAAGGATGGCAATGAAATTCACACTTCCCCCAGTAGAGAGTGCTCCACTACTTTCTCTTTGTCCTTTCTGCGCCTTCCCCATGCAATGGAGATACTCTGTGTTTGTTGGTATACAAAAATAGATAGGATGGGCTTCCTTTCCCACTTCTATCATATCCTTGAGGAGGATGTCCTGGGACCACATTTTGGACCTTGGTCACCCACAATAATTTGTAAAGAGATTGAAATGAGTCATTTGTTGCAGTTTTCAACATGTTAGTCCATCCTCAGCCATTGTTTAGTAATGCATAAACAATAAGAAGCAAAATAGTGTTGATCTACTTTTACTTAGACTGCATCTAATGTTGTAGTAGTCTTCCTTTTCTTCTGATTTTCCGTACAGCCCTGCTCTTCCCCTTCTAGCCCTGAATGTCTCCTCTAGAAGAGATTTGGGGAAAATCTGTTTTAGTTCCATTACCATTGATGCAAAATGTCAGTGACAGTATTCTGAAAGAAAATGTGACATATTACATACTAATAAGAATTCTTAAAATATTTTTCAGATTCGTAAAGATGCTTTAAAGTCTCTGAATATTGCTTACACTGTAAATGCACAGAGATCCACCATCTTTCCACTAGATAATCTGGTGCGCATGTTACTCTTCAGGGACTTTGAAGATGCAGCTGATTTCATAAGTTACTATGGCTTGGGTGTGTCTGATGGGTAAGTGCTAGACACTCTTGTGTACCAAACCACAACAAAGAACTGGGAGGAAAACAAATGATGGGGAATTAGGTGGATTCTAAAGTGATTAATGCTGGTTATCTCTTTCAAGATGGCTGATTCCTTGTGTTTGTGTTTGTCATGCACACACTGTCATTCAGTTGCAAGCACTTAATATTTACTTTCAACAGTAAGGAGCCAATTGTCTGTTTTTTTCCTTGTTTCCTCCTGCATGTAAGCAATACTTTAACTGGGGTTTTGGCTCGGCTTGGTTTTGGTTGTGCTGTGTGTGTGGTTTCTTTGTTTTCGCCTTTTGATACTGATATCTTGAACTGGGTACGTGTTGTCCAAAACTGAGCCCAGACAGTGATATTATTAGTGTCTGGAATCTGGAAGCCATAATGGCATTCTTTTGTAAATATTAATAGATGTCTCAGTTCTCAGTGCTGCTTACTCTATAGTTAAAATGGTACCCCTCCTCAGAAGAGGAAGATATCACAAGGTTTGTAATGATATCAAGGTTTTTATATGTACAAGAAAATCTTAAGGAACCTCTTTCCTTTTCTATTCCCACAACAGCCCAAGAGGATTAAATGTGCTTAGTGGCCACACAACGCTTACTGTTTAGGGGAGAAGGGAAAAGAGGGAAAGCAGTGAAAGTGCATGATTGGAATTTCAAATAGAGAATACTTGGGACTTCAACATTTTGTTGCAAGTAATTCTTAATAGGTGGAGTTGAGCTTCACAATGGAGTTAAATTTTCCAGTTATAGTTTTGATTCACGTGCTCTAAAAGGTTATGTAATTTAAGCCGTGCATTCTCAAAGGACTTCCTCTTTTACTGTTGCAATATATCATCTGCATTAATACTTTAAAGAGTAAACTATTAAAGTTCATTCACTAGAGTACAATATTCTATTGCAGTTACTTTTAATCTGTGTTGTAAATAATGCTTTTCCTCTAATATTATCTATGGCTTTGGGAGTCTTGATGGCAGAAGAGGGACTAATAAATAATAGATTGAGAGAATGATAATAGCAAGGTTTTTCTGTGGCCTGTTGTGAGTTCATTTAATTTTAAATCAGTTGATTTTTTTCTCATCGCTGAGAATAGCCCAAAGTTACTTGGAAAGGCTAACCCTAAGAACTTGCTATTGCTTATTTTAGTTGTGTTTGCTTCACGCATACTTATAAACATGTAAAATCTTAAATTATACTCTGCATTTGCTATTTATTTTTTACTGCACTTTACAGTTTTGTGGAGCTGAATCGTTCTGCATTTTTGGAACCAGAAAGCCTGCCCAAGCCAAAGAAATCAGTATTTGTCGGGCAGAAACTAATTGTGTCAATAGGAGAAATAGTCAATGGAGGATTTCTACCACCTGTGACTTGCCATAGACCTGTGTGTAGCTTCAGTGCTCAGAACAGATACATGGGGGAAAACACTACCATCGATTCAGTCAGCACTAGTCAAAAAGTCAGTGTTGATGTGACAGGTGAGTCAGAATGTGCATATCCGGAATATGAACCTGGACACAGAATTGTGGGCACAGAAGTAAGAAGAGATCAATTAGCAGCACATCTTTTGTTCCTATGCATGTCTACACTTAATAGATATCATACCCTGTTTCCCTGAAAATAAGCCCTAGTGTGATTTTTCAGGATGCTCGTAATATAAGCCCTATCCCCAAAATTAGCCCTAGTTAAATGAAAGCCTGCCCTCCACCATTGTGCAGTAACCAGAAGAAGATGATATGACTGCATTTGAATAAATGTAGATTGTTGTACATGAAAAAAAAATAAACCATCCCCTGAAAATAAGCTCTGTGTTTTTTAGAGCAAAAATTAATATAAGACCTTATTTTCAGGGAAACATGGTAATAAACTAGCATGCTTTATAACAATGCTGGGTATTCTTGTGGTTTCTTGTGGTAATTTCTGTAGTGCAAATGTGAGAGTAAATCTGCAAGAGGTTCTTGCCTGTGACAATCTAGTGAGTCCTAGCAGAGGTGAGATTCAAACGCAATGATTTTCTGATTGTGTTAGTCTCTTAATCACTGTAGCATACCAGCTCAATGCCTGCATGGCTCAATAGCAACAATTCAATAAGATGAACATAGAACTTCTATAAGTGTGAATTCTCTTTGTCTAGCAGTGATCTGGTTATCTTCCTAACGTTTCTAACAGCTGCAAAGAATCCTTTAGAGTTAAGCTAGAGGTTTGGTTTTACATATCTAAGTCAGATCCTGACATAGTCTGCCTTCAGAAGAATTTTGGTTCATAGCATTCAGCATTTCTCTTCTGGGGAGAAGTTTAAGTTCTTGCTTTGCTGCTTTAAAATGTGGTTTGCCCTTCTTCTGTTTCCATGATTTACATTCAGTAAAGTAGGTTAAAGCAACCTAATTTAAAAACTGAATAAATAAAAACATCAACAGAGTAAGAAAATGGGTTCTCCTTGTCTCCTTGGTTTAAGTGGTTATACCTTAATAGTGTTGTTTTATGAACACAGCTACTTGATGTGAGTAAGTGAGGTTACCCTTTGTATTGTATGAGATATTTGGTTCATACATTCAGTTTTGCAACAAAGGCTTTTCAAATTCTCAGGCAAAAGTCCTTCCAGCCCAGCTACCTGAGTTTATCCCACTAAGATCCCTGAAGACAGCAAGGCTAGACCCTGAGGCCTGCTGCATGCAAAACATTCTTGCTGTGTTGTGGGCCCCTCCTGTTACATTTGGTCCAGAACAGCCTTTTTTTAAAAGAATAATGACTGTAGGTTTTATAAAAATACCTTTCTGATATCCATCTGGATATTTTACATCTTTATTTTCCTTACAGAAGGAAAAGCAGAAGCAAGTGGCACAGACTCAGAAATGCTCCAAGCTCAACCTTCTTCCTTACTCACATCATCCACCCCAGTACTGTTACTTTCCACAACAGGATCCACATTCCATCCTATTGCACAGCCTTCACCACCCTCTCCCAAACTTCAGCCTGTTTATAGTGATATGGTAAGGAACTTCGGGAAGCTTGTTGCTTCAGTGTTACACAATCAAAAAAAAGAAGGATTTTTGTATTTTAAACTTTTGTTTTAACATGAGAGTTTTTGATGTGTTTTTTTAAATCTTTAAAAGGGGAATTTGGTACATTCTCACCAAATATCACTGTCACTAAAAAGTTACTACAAATTTTGGGACAGGGACAAAGTCTTAAAACTGGATTTATAACTAAATTTATATTCTAGTCCCAATTAGAGTAGATTTATTGAATCAGTGGAAATTTATCAGCATTTATATAACTTTGATTCAGAACATTGGTTGGAAATAACAAGTAGATTTAGGCCAAAAAGACAAATGGAAAGAATGGTAATGATTGAATCTGTTGGAAAAAATATGAAGGAAAATATATCATAATATTAAAAAAGGTGATATCCAGCAGTATAAAACTGTAGCAGTTCAGTAGTAGTAAACTGTAAAGTCACTTTTTCTGATGGAATGTTTTTCTTTGATTCAGTGGGAAGTTCTTTAGAGTTAAGCTAGAGGTTTGTTGTTACATCTCAAAACCAAAAGAGATTGAATTGTATCCTCTGGATTTCTATTGACTGTGCTGGCTGATGGAAATCGCAGTTCAACAAAATTTGGAGGACAGTACTTGTCTACCCCAGCTTACATATGACTACCCCAGCTTACATATGACTAGCACACAGTCTACCTGACCTTGAAAAATTCTTTTCCCCCCCTGCATGCTATAAATTTACAAGGTGTCTCTACCCCCTCAGTAATGATACAGAACCAAATCCTTTTCTCCTTTTCGCTTTGAGCCAAAGACATTTCAGTATTAAGATGTTTTCATATGGAGCCTGTTGGCTTTTATACCTGGCACTTACGTTTTCCATTATGTGCTACTATGAGAATCTTCGTGCTGATGATATTCTTAAATGTAAAGACTTGCTGAAAATTAAGTAGGTTTTTATCCTGCCACTCTGAACTACATTTGCTCCCCATCTACTGACACTAAAGACATTATTGACATTGGATGTTGGATTTGACAGAGCAGCTTGTCTGTTTAGAGATAAGTAATTACACAGCCTTGGTACTTTTTCATTCTGTGTTCAGCAGCAAGGCAGAGGAACAGGGGAGAAGTGGTCTAAAAACTTGCTCCATGGAGGTTGACAACTTTGGTTGTTCTAAATAGTTGCCCAAAGTAGGCAGTCCTTGTATTGTCATAAAGTTAGTGTTAAGAAAGTACTGGGAATCAAATATATAAACTAGTAACCTGACAGGGCTTACACTAGTTGTGTGTCAACAATGTTCCTGAAGCTTTATCGTTTGTGATGGAGTTTCAGGGTTAAGCTAGAGCCTCTGGTTGGCCTGGTCTGGTGGAAAGAGTTTCTGGTATATGGCAAGGGTAAGCAATTGTAGCTCTCAAAATGTTTCTGGATAAAATTCACATCCATGGCTGTCAATATGGTCTGTAGTGATGAATTATGAAAGGTGCATTCTAAAAATTTGTGGAGGGCCAAAATTCTCCATCCATGCTTTTTGGGATCACTACAAAGAGAGGTGAGGATGTTGGGTATGTAAAGTTGAGCTAGAAGTCTAAGAAAACTTTCTTCAAGACAGTCTCCTTTGAATATTGTTGTTTCAGCTGAGGGCAGTCAGGAAACAATTTTTGAGATAAGAATTATCATCAAGATGTTTTGGCTTTTTGCTGCAATATATGGACCACTCATATATATAAGTCACAAGCCCCCTGATATTACTCTGTATGGAAGCCCAATCATAGTGCCTGCTCGTCCTTTGCCAGATTAATAAATATAATTGCCACTGACAACATGGTGTAGATCAGTTTCATTTGCTTTATGAAAGACAAGGATGGAACCAAATGACTCTTGAATTGTTTCGAGCTTTACAGTTGTGGGGTTAAAACATGTTACCTTGCTGCTATAGAGTGCAGTGGTGGCTCAACTTACGACCATAATCCATTCCAGAAGATGGACGTAACTCAAAATGGTCGTAAGTGGAAGTGCCATTTCCCATTGAAATGCATTGGAACACGATTAATCTGTTCCGGAAGAAAAAGCACACAGCAAGCCCGGTCGGAAGGCGCTGAGGCTTAAAAAAAAACAACAACTAAAAATAAAGCACACAACAAGCTCCATTGCTGGGGCTTAAAAAAAAACCAGACCAAAAATAAACAGCAAAGCAAGCCCCAAAGGCACTGGAGCGTTAAAAACAAACAAAACCACTGCACAGAAACATAACCCCCCCCAGCCCAAAACCACACTGCAAAATCCACTCAGAACAGTTTTTAAAAAGCAGAACCTTACCTTACCAGGCCGTTCTGAAGAGAAGGACCAGGGTGGCGTAGGTCCGCGATGGGGCCAGCGGCAGGAGGCTGCCCCCTTTCCTTGCCCAAGCAATTCGCCCCCAAACCCTGTCCTTCCGAGGAGGGCACGCTTGCACCCAGCCAAGTACCCGCGCGCCACACACACACACTCCTCTCGCACTCTCTGTCTTGATGTGAGTAAGTGAGGTTACCCTTTGTATTGTATGAGATATTTGGTTCATACATTCAGTTTTGCAACAAAGGCTTTTCAAATTCTCAGGCAAAAGTCCTTCCAGCCCAGCTACCTGAGTTTATCCCACTAAGATCCCTGAAGACAGCAAGGCTAGACCCTGAGGCCTGCTGCATGCAAAACATTCTTGCTGTGTTGTGGGCCCCTCCTGTTACATTTGGTCCAGAACAGCCTTTTTTTAAAAGAATAATGACTGTAGGTTTTATAAAAATACCTTTCTGATATCCATCTGGATATTTTACATCTTTATTTTCCTTACAGAAGGAAAAGCAGAAGCAAGTGGCACAGACTCAGAAATGCTCCAAGCTCAACCTTCTTCCTTACTCACATCATCCACCCCAGTACTGTTACTTTCCACAACAGGATCCACATTCCATCCTATTGCACAGCCTTCACCACCCTCTCCCAAACTTCAGCCTGTTTATAGTGATATGGTAAGGAACTTCGGGAAGCTTGTTGCTTCAGTGTTACACAATCAAAAAAAAGAAGGATTTTTGTATTTTAAACTTTTGTTTTAACATGAGAGTTTTTGATGTGTTTTTTTAAATCTTTAAAAGGGGAATTTGGTACATTCTCACCAAATATCACTGTCACTAAAAAGTTACTACAAATTTTGGGACAGGGACAAAGTCTTAAAACTGTATTTATAACTAAATTTATATTCTAGTCCCAATTAGAGTAGATTTATTGAATCAGTGGAAATTTATCAGCATTTATATAACTTTGATTCAGAACATTGGTTGGAAATAACAAGTAGATTTAGGCCAAAAAGACAAATGGAAAGAATGGTAATGATTGAATCTGTTGGAAAAAATATGAAGGAAAATATATCATAATATTAAAAAAGGTGATATCCAGCAGTATAAAACTGTAGCAGTTCAGTAGTAGTAAACTGTAAAGTCACTTTTTCTGATGGAATGTTTTTCTTTGATTCAGTGGGAAGTTCTTTAGAGTTAAGCTAGAGGTTTGTTGTTACATCTCAAAACCAAAAGAGATTGAATTGTATCCTCTGGATTTCTATTGACTGTGCTGGCTGATGGAAATCGCAGTTCAACAAAATTTGGAGGACAGTACTTGTCTACCCCAGCTTACATATGACTACCCCAGCTTACATATGACTAGCACACAGTCTACCTGACCTTGAAAAATTCTTTTCCCCCCCTGCATGCTATAAATTTACAAGGTGTCTCTACCCCCTCAGTAATGATACAGAACCAAATCCTTTTCTCCTTTTCGCTTTGAGCCAAAGACATTTCAGTATTAAGATGTTTTCATATGGAGCCTGTTGGCTTTTATACCTGGCACTTACGTTTTCCATTATGTGCTACTATGAGAATCTTCGTGCTGATGATATTCTTAAATGTAAAGACTTGCTGAAAATTAAGTAGGTTTTTATCCTGCCACTCTGAACTACATTTGCTCCCCATCTACTGACACTAAAGACATTATTGACATTGGATGTTGGATTTGACAGAGCAGCTTGTCTGTTTAGAGATAAGTAATTACACAGCCTTGGTACTTTTTCATTCTGTGTTCAGCAGCAAGGCAGAGGAACAGGGGAGAAGTGGTCTAAAAACTTGCTCCATGGAGGTTGACAACTTTGGTTGTTCTAAATAGTTGCCCAAAGTAGGCAGTCCTTGTATTGTCATAAAGTTAGTGTTAAGAAAGTACTGGGAATCAAATATATAAACTAGTAACCTGACAGGGCTTACACTAGTTGTGTGTCAACAATGTTCCTGAAGCTTTATCGTTTGTGATGGAGTTTCAGGGTTAAGCTAGAGCCTCTGGTTGGCCTGGTCTGGTGGAAAGAGTTTCTGGTATATGGCAAGGGTAAGCAATTGTAGCTCTCAAAATGTTTCTGGATAAAATTCACATCCATGGCTGTCAATATGGTCTGTAGTGATGAATTATGAAAGGTGCATTCTAAAAATTTGTGGAGGGCCAAAATTCTCCATCCATGCTTTTTGGGATCACTACAAAGAGAGGTGAGGATGTTGGGTATGTAAAGTTGAGCTAGAAGTCTAAGAAAACTTTCTTCAAGACAGTCTCCTTTGAATATTGTTGTTTCAGCTGAGGGCAGTCAGGAAACAATTTTTGAGATAAGAATTATCATCAAGATGTTTTGGCTTTTTGCTGCAATATATGGACCACTCATATATATAAGTCACAAGCCCCCTGATATTACTCTGTATGGAAGCCCAATCATAGTGCCTGCTCGTCCTTTGCCAGATTAATAAATATAATTGCCACTGACAACATGGTGTAGATCAGTTTCATTTGCTTTATGAAAGACAAGGATGGAACCAAATGACTCTTGAATTGTTTCGAGCTTTACAGTTGTGGGGTTAAAACATGTTACCTTGCTGCTATAGAGTGCAGTGGTGGCTCAACTTACGACCATAATCCATTCCAGAAGATGGACGTAACTCAAAATGGTCGTAAGTGGAAGTGCCATTTCCCATTGAAATGCATTGGAACACGATTAATCTGTTCCGGAAGAAAAAGCACACAGCAAGCCCGGTCGGAAGGCGCTGAGGCTTAAAAAAAAACAACAACTAAAAATAAAGCACACAACAAGCTCCATTGCTGGGGCTTAAAAAAAAACCAGACCAAAAATAAACAGCAAAGCAAGCCCCAAAGGCACTGGAGCGTTAAAAACAAACAAAACCACTGCACAGAAACATAACCCCCCCCAGCCCAAAACCACACTGCAAAATCCACCCAGAACAGTTTTTAAAAAGCAGAACCTTACCTTACCAGGCCGTTCTGAAGAGAAGGACCAGGGTGGCGTAGGTCCGCGATGGGGCCAGCGGCAGGAGGCTGCCCCCTTTCCTTGCCCAAGCAATTCGCCCCCAAACCCTGTCCTTCCGAGGAGGGCACGCTTGCACCCAGCCAAGTACCCGCGCGCCACACACACACACACACACACACTCCTCTCGCACTCTCTGTCCCCCTCCACCGCTGCTCCTTTCCAAAGGGGGTTGACTGCTCCTTTCTTGGCAACCCGGGAGCACTTCTTTCTTTCCCACTCCCCTGGTCAGTCGGGATACTGAAGAATCAGACGGGCAGCTGCAGCCCTTGACTGCCTGCTGCTCCTCACGTGCGCACACTCACCTCCGCTCGCAGGGAGCCTGCTCGCTACAAGAGCCGCTTTCCCAGCTCTAGACACAAGGGCAATCTCAGCATGCAGTCCTCCTCACATTTTCTCTCCCTCTCACATTCCCCTGCCTTTCGCGACTCCACCCCTCCCAAGGCATGCTTCTGTTTCCCTTCCCCTCCCTCCCAGAGTTCTTAAATTTTTTAAAAAAAACAGGCAATTTTTTAAAATCAGAAAGCAGCACCTTACCAGTCAGTCCGAAGCCTCCTCCGAACGCACATTCTCTAACCATTGGGGTGAAAGAGCTACAAAGAAGCAGTCTCTTCACCTACCAACGATTAGCAATTTGTATTTCCCACCCCTTTTCCCTGCCTTTTTGTGTTCATAACTGGAAGCTCCGGATGCAAGTCGAAGCAAAATTTTGCGGCCGGAGCTGGTCGTAACTTGAAATGGTCGTAAGTTGGGTCAGTCGTAAGTTGAGGCACCACTGTATGTAATATACTCTATCCAGATTTTTGAACTTTAATATTGAGATACCTTACAAGACACCATTCTGTTAATTTCCCTTCCTTTTTAGGGTGTTTCATGTTTTAGGAAAACATGAATGTTTTCCTAAATGTTTAGGAAAACATGTATGGAGCAATATTGAATACTCAAACATTCTAATTCTAATTGCCTTTTTTCCCTAGGATATTGAAGAAGTAATTGAAGACCTTGTGAATGATATGCTGGAAGGAGAATGTAGAGAAATCAGCAGTGCAGGAGCAGCCTATATACAATCAGCAATATGGTAAAGGCACTACTAACCGCAACACTCAGTGTTTCTTTAATAGCATTTCAGAAGCAGCTCATGCTATCCAGATGCCAATCCGCCACTGCAGAAAAAATTACTTGGTTCTCCTTCTTGGCCTCTGTGAATTCACACTACAGTGGTGCCTCGCAAGACGATGTTAATTCGTTCCACGAAAATTGCTGTCTTGCGAAAACATTGTCTTGCGAAACGCGGTTTCCCATTGAAATGCATTAAAACCAGATAATCCGTTCCAATGGGAACAAATCGTTGTTAAGCGAAAATCGCCATAGGAAACACGCAAGAGGAAAAATCGTTAAGCGAAACGCGGTTCCCTAATTGAAATGCCTTGAAACCTATTCAATGCATTTCAATTGGGGGGGGGGAATTACAACAACAAAGTTAAAAAAAGTCAGAATAAAGTCAAATTTGGTTAACAAAGGGTTTATTAAGTGCACTTTAACACCATAAATAATGTGCAGGTGATTTCAAAAATTTCAAACAGTAAACTTTAACTATAAATAACATAGAAAAACATTTAAAAATCAACAAACATGAGGCAGGAACATTTTTCTTCAACAGAAATAGTCATTGGATAGTACACACAACTGTTTAGAAAGTGCATTTACATACAAAAACTCTTCATAAAGTGCACAAACATAAAGAAACATTACAGAAAATTTTCAGGAAGTTTATAAAACAGTACAGAAACTTTTTAAATTTAAGTGAGTCTAAACCACCAGGACCAGGAGCAGTGTTCAGTGCAGGAACCTGGAGGCACACAGAACTGTCCCCACATCACAGCAAGAGCATTCTTCTAGGAGGAGGAGGTAGAAGGCAACTGGGCACCACTGGTGGAAGGAGCAGGCTCCTCTTCCTCTCTTGCCCTCTTCGTGAGGAATCTCTCCATGGTGAGCTGTTTCTGCCACCTTTTCAGCATCCTTCTGAAAGGGGACATGATCCTTTCATCATATGTGTTTGAAAGGTCATGTGCCAGAGCCTTGTCCGGGTGGTACCGCTGTGCTTGAGTCTGCACGAGCTGCCAGTAGTGCAGGAGCTTCTTCGGGTCACTGGTGGACAGCTGTTCCTCCCCTGGCTCTTCTTCCTGCTCCTCCATAGCCTCGGCCTGCATCTCGACCAGCTCCTGGGTGGACAGAACCTGGTTGTGACCCTCCACCAGTTCACAAATGTCCTCCTCTGTGACCTCGAGGCCCATGTTCCTCCCCAAGGCCACAATGTCCTCCATCACTGTGGAGTCTGGTGCAGGCGCAGAAACACCAGTTGTCACACAGTCTGGCCAGAGGTTGCGCCAAGCGCAGTTCAGGTTCCTCTGGTTGATGCCGTCCCAGGCCGTGGCGATCATCCTGAGGCAGCTGACAATGTCGAAGTGCTCCCTCCAGAATTCACGCAGGGTGAGGTGGGTGGCCTTGGTCACCTTGAAGCACTTCTGGAAAAGCTCCTTGGTGTAGTGTTTTTTTGAAGTTTGCTATCACCTGCTGGTCTATTGGCTGGAGTACCGGGGGGATGTTAGGCGGCAGGAACATTATCTTTATAAAGCTGAAGTCATCCAGCAAGTCATCCTCAAGGCCTGGAGGATGGGGAAGAGCATTGTCCATCAGGAGCAGGGCCTTCAGTGGCAGGTCTGTCTCCACAAGGTAACGCTTCACAGCTGGGCCAAAAGCCTGATTGACCCAGTCCACAAAGAGGACGTGTGTGACCCAAGCCTTGGCATTGGATCGCCACATCACCCTCAGCCGGGCTTTGTCCACCTTGTGCTTCTTGAAAGCCCGTGGGTTCTTGGAGTGATAGACAAGCAAAGGCTTAATCTTCAGGTCCCCGCTGGCGTTGGCACAGAAGAGGAGGGTGAGACGGTCCTTTATGGGCTTGTGGCCAGGCAGCTTGCTCTCCTCTTGCGTCAGGAAGGTCCTTTTGGGCATCCTCTTCCAAAACAGCCTGGTCTTGTCACACTTGAAGACCTGCTCTGGACGGTAGCCCTCTGTCATCACGACCTCCAGGAACTCCGTGGCAAAGTCCTCAGCCGCATTAACATCGGAGCTGGCAGCCTCTCCGTGCCTGACCACACTGTGGATGCCGGATCTGTTCTTGAAGTGTTCAAACCAGCCTCTGCTTGCCTTGCACTCTTCTGGCTCAGCTAAGGTTCCCGGCTGTTGCTCCACGAGGTCTGCATACAAGGCCCTGGCCTTCTTACAGGTGACAGCCTCAGTCACTGTGTCCCCTGCACACTGCTTTTCCTGCATCCAGATGACCAGCAGCTTCTCCACTTCCTCCAGGACAGCTGGCTGGTTTTTCGCGATCCTGGTGACACCCTTCGCTGCATCCATGGCAAGGATCTTCTCCCTCATCTTAACGATGGTGCCGATGGTGGAGGGATTCCTGCTGTACTCCCTGGCAATGTCTGCGATGCAAGTTGCCTCCATCGTACTTCCGGAGGATCTCCTTTTTCATCTCCTTGGTCATCTTCCCGACCTCGGCAGAAGCAGGCTTCTTGGGACCCATGTCAGCTGTTGCTATGTTAAAAAAACAAAAGGCAGTGCTTTACATCTGCTTCACCTTCCCACACACCTTCCCACAGCTGGCCAAAATTGCCCTGGAAGAACAAGTGGCATAACATCCCCCCAGCCCAAGCTAAGAAAAAAAAATCAAACAGCATAACTCCCACCCACCCAACACAGGAGAACAAATGCTGACCTACCTTTTGCTGTCCCAAGAAGTTATGAAAAACTCCTCTGAAGACCACACCAGATGAAAGACAGGAGGATGCCTTAACAAAGAAATTTTTAAAAATTAAACTTAGCATAACAACCCCCCCAGCCCATGATAAGAAAAAAAAATCAAACAGCATAACTCCCCCCACCCAATACAGGAGAACAAATGTAGACCTACCTCTTGCTGTCCCTGAAGCAGCAAACTCCACTGCAGGCCACACCACACGAATGCCACACGAACCGCATGAGGGTGCCTTACCAAAGGGAAAAAAATTAAACTTGGCCTAAACTCCCCCCCCCCCCAAAAAAAAACAGGAGAGCAAATGCAGACCTACTTACCTTTTGCTCTCCAAAAAGTCCTGGAAAACACCAACATCACTGAAGATCACACCAACCTCACCAAAAAGAGGATGCCTAAAATAAAACTTGGCATTACCTCCCCCCCCAACACAGGAGAAGAAATGCAGACCTACTGTACCTTTTGCTGTCCCAGATGTACTGGAAAAGTCCACCCACCGAAGGCCACATCACACCACACTACAGAAAGGATGCCAACAGTAAAAAAAAAAAAAGTTGGCATCAGACTTTTGCATTCAAACCCCCACAACAGAAGCTACTGTACCCCCTAAGTTTCCCCTGCAGGGTACCCAACATTTTAAATCACATTTCTGCACGTTTCTCCCACACAGAACCAATGCAATATCCAAATTCTCCCACGAAAAAATTTAAAATGAGACTTCTGCAGGATTCTCCCACCCAATGAAAGCAACATCAAGGAAAAAAATTAAAACACAGTTTTAAACTTTAAATCCCAATGCAAGACTCTAGACAGACAAAAAAAAAACCCTGCAGTTCCCCCCAAAATAAGAATGAGACTTCTGCAGAATTCTCTCCCACCCAAGGAAAGCAACATCAAGGAAAAAAATTAAAACACGGTTTTAAACTTTAAAATCCCAATGCAAGACACCAGACAGATAAAAAAAAAAAAAACCCTGCAGTTCCCCCCAAAATAAGAATGAGACTTCTACAGTAAAACCCACCACCCACACAGGAGAACAAATGTAAACTTACCTTTTGCTGCCTGGCCAAGAAGTTCTGCAGATCTCCAGAACAGACCAAAGTTGCTCCTCATGAAGTCAGCCTTGGAACTCCACATGGAAAAGTAAAGCCAGGCTGCATAGGGAAGGGTTTTTAAACCTTCCCGGCACAAGGCACAATGCATCTTGGGTATTAACAGTTGAGATTTGAACCAAAACAAAACAAAACAAAAAAAAAACCCTGCAGAATGACTTGCACAAGGCATCCTGGTATTAACAGTTGAGATTTGAACCAAAACAACAACAGCAACAACAAAAAGAAAACCCTGCAGACCGGCACAAGGCACAATGCATCCTGGGTATTGAAGGTTGAGATTTGAATGAAAACAACAGAAAAAAACACCCTGGCCAAAGTCATCTTGCGAAACAGCGACCTTTAAAACAATTGTATTGCGAAGCGCGGGACCCAAGCTGGCAAAAACATCGTAAAGCAAAACAGGGACTCAAAATTTAACCGTCTTGCGAGGCAAGGTCCCGAACATCGTCAAGCGAAAATTGCCCATAGGAACCATTGTTAAGTGAAGCGTAAAATTGCTCCAAAAAAGTCACTGTAAAGCGAATTCGTCATTAAGCGGAGCAATCGTCTTGCGAGGCACCACTATAATGGGTTAATCTGCGCTCTAAAGAAATCTGCTTTTTATCACCTCCTCATATTTAGCCAGCACTATGTCATATAAAGCCATAAGGGCTTTTACGCTAGCTAGGCTCAATGTACTTCCTTCTGAGCTTTTGAAGGGAAGATTTCGAGGTTTGCCTACATCAGATTGTCTCTGCCCTTGTAATAGTGATAAAGTTGAATCAGTTGGTCATGTTCTCCTTTTCTGTACTTGTTATCGGGATCTTTGTATGGAGCGTTTATCAGCTATTATCTGTAAATCTCCCGGGAGATTAGAGGAGGATTATGTCCAGCTGCTACTCTCTGACAATACCCCTTATATTACGAGACAAGTGGCCAAATTCTGTGCGGCAGCAATGGTTATTCGTAATCAAATGTTTGGGTAGGTGATTTTAGATGGATATGTTTTTAATATAACTCTGAGGTTTTACTTATATTAAGGATACATGGCATTATTAACTGGAAAGAAGGGGTTGTTTTATCATGTTTTAATGGAATTTTATTACCCTGATTGACTTTACCAAACTATAATTATATGTATCTATTTTATATTGATTTGGG